TATGACCTTGTTTTTATTTAAAATAAAATAAATTCAATTCATTTCTATTTTATTTTCACAACAAACCCACCACATTTGTATTTCGTATTGGGCCTCATCATGAGGGAAGTCAGTGAGCGGTGAGTGCAGACAATTTTTTTTTTGAAATTTGGAAACGTATGCCTGGCGTACGTTTTCAATTTAAAATAGGGTGTGCCAAATGATCATATGATGTATACCAATCTTAATTAGCTGCCATTTTTCTGTACATCGGAAAACTCAACGTTGTGGTCGATCAAAAGAGAAAAGGAGTGTTGTTGGTTATACAACTTGAAAACAAATAAAGAAGTTAAGAAACCAAATAAAATAATAATATGGACTTTATAGCTAAAAAAATATGTGATAGTACCCTCTAATAAATGCTGTCAATGTGAAATCAATGCATCAGTCGTTCAAAACACTTTAAATTAAATTTAAAAATTTTTCAAATTTTGATCCTTTGTGAGGATGGCACCAAAAGAAGTGTACCGGTATTTTTCATCTACGAATTTTATCTATGTTTAATAAAAGTATAACGATTTGCAATGTTTGGATCGGATCGGACTTTCTATTCGCTTGCTATTGAGTTAACAAATTTTTGAAATTTGGACACTTTGTGATGGAAGTACCAGGAATGGAAGGATGGAAGTACCAGAAGCAGTAAACATTTAGAACCTTTGTGTGGGTGCTTCTAGAACGAATGGACCGATAAGTCCCATCTTCCAGCATTTTAAATGCATGGATAAAATATTAGGATATAGAAAGTATAGTTTAAATTGGATACTACGTTATAACTTTAATAATCAGCAACATTTTGTTGGGGAGTGGAGCGATATTATCCATTGAATGAAATCGGTTAATTAATGAAATCGGTAAGTTATCGTTCACAAAAGCCATACAAAAAGACAGTGAACGGTTATTTGCAAACCGACTCCAAATTGTCTGAAATGGTCCATTGAAACAAAGGGCTCTAAAACAAACATTCCGATAGTGAACAATTTTTACAGTAACAAATTGTTCATTCCCTCATTAGCCAAAAAGCTAAGGGTATGTATATTTATTTTAAAGTTGTGTTTTAACAATCAATACACACATCATTGACCATACATACATTTTGTGTAGCCCCCTACACAATTATAGCAAACCAAAACTAAATTGAAATGTGGTTATTGTCTTTGATAATTAAAATAGGTTGATGGCGGCAATGTATGTGTAGATGTCGCCCTAGGTGTATTTACATAAGGTGTAAGTGACAATCAGCCATTTTTTTTTACTTTTTATTATAAAATTAATTGTCAAAATATATTAAGGTATCCACTTCAAATAATATTTTCAATTAACATATTCTAAATTGTTCCCAAAAAAGTACCAGAAAAATAAGAGATACATTATGAATTATACCACTTCACCGCGATAATACAACAGTATGTTTATTTAGGGGATTTGCTTTATATTTTATATATTTTCCGAAAAATTATATGAACAACCCTATAATAATGTGTTTTTTAATATGGAATGGATGTTGCAATGTAAACCCTTTTATACATATCGCGTATGTAAACAATAATAACATCTACAGCCATTTCAAAACTTGGCTTCACTGCTGAAATGCCCGACAACGCCATGCCCGATGTTGCCATACACTCTGATTTAGGCCACTGCCAACAACAACGAGAAATATGTCAACATTGGGTGGCGATCAGTGCTGCCAGTTAAATTTCATGAAAAATCGTAAAAAAATCGGCATAATCGGCATTTGTATTTTTAAAAATCGGCAGCATATAATTTATAAATAAATTCATATTTTTTTTGGTTTATAACAAATCAATATTGTTTATTACATTAAAAAAAGATAACAAATTCAATTCTGTATAAAAAAATAACATAAAAGTTTAATTTTTCTACAAAAAATGTAGATTTTTCTAAAATATAGTAATTTTTATGTACACTAGTGAGATCTTTCAGATTTACTTATAACACAGTGTGGTATTAAGGTCATAAAAAAATTAGATTTTTATTACAAATTTTTAGTATTTCATTATCAATTTTGATATTAAAACAATTTGAATTATTTAGTTTGAGGTAATATTAAGAATAAAGAATCCCTTCCAATGAATCATTCTCAAGTGAGCTTCTAATTTTAGTTTTGTTAAGGTTTACCTGACTAAAAATTCGTTCCACATTTGCTGTGGAATGTGGAAGAACCATAATTCTTTGTACAAATTTAGACAAAACTGGAAAGTAGTGTTTGCGGTTTATTTGGGATACCATTTGTATTTTGTTTTTGCAAAATAGTCAGGCTGAATCCCAGTTTGTTGTTTTTATAAAAAAACAACTATTTATTAGTGGGGAATGTATGGCATTGTTTGCCGAGGGGTAAGGCAGGGAAGACTATAGTTTCGGATCACGCCACTGATCCTCATCAGTTCCCTTAGTTTTTTGTTGGGATATTCTCCCCAGAAGCTATTGCTTCTATACAAAAAACCTTTCATACCCAAATGTCTCTTGTAACAAAGCGAAGTACTTAGTTGTTGTAAATAAATAGTTGTTTTTTATAAAAACAACAAACTGGGATTCAGCCTGACTATTGTGCAAAAACAAAATACAAATGGTATCCCAAATAAACCGCCAACACTACTGAAGTTGTAGACGCAGGCACGGTTGAACTGTTTGGTTTGTTGCTGTATACTAGCAACACCAACAAAGTCGTTGTGTGCATTTGTCGCGATGTGACAACACACAACAGTGGGAAAGGTGTGGTATTGTTTGTAAATGCCTTGTTAACCTCGAAGTGAGGCTCCAACGAAATTCTCATGCAGTTTATGTCGTTGGTCAGCTAAGTACTTCGCTTTGTTACAAGAGACATTTGGGTATGAAAGGTTTTTTGTATAGAAGCAATAGCTTCTGGGGAGAATATCCCAACAAAAAACTAAGGGAACTGATGAGGATCAGTGGCGTGATCCGAAACTATAGTCTTCCCTGCCTTACCCCTCGGCAAACAATGCCATACATTCCCCACTAATAAATAGTTGTTTTTTATAAAAACAACAAACTGGGATTCAGCCTGACTATTTTGCAAAAACAAAATACAAATGGTATCCCAAATAAACCGCCAACACTACTGAAGTTGTAGACGCAGGCACGGTTGAACTGTTTGGTTTGTTGCTGTATACTAGCAACACCAACAAAGTCGTTGTGCGCATTTGTCGCGATGTGACAACACACAACAGTGGGAAAGGTGTGGTATTGTTTGTAAATGCCTTGTTAACCTCGAAGTGAGGCTCCAACGAAATTCTCATGCAGTTTATGTCGTTGGTCAGCTAAGTACTTCGCTTTGTTACAAGAGACATTTGGGTATGAAAGGTTTTTTGTATAGAAGCAATAGCTTCTGGGGAGAATATCCCAACAAAAAACTAAGGGAACTGATGAGGATCAGTGGCGTGATCCGAAACTATAGTCTTCCCTGCCTTACCCCTCGGCAAACAATGCCATACATTCCCCACTAATAAATAGTTGTTTTTTATAAAAACAACAAACTGGGATTCAGCCTGACTATTTTGCAAAAACAAACTGGAAAAGCTAAATTGGAGCCCCACGTTTAATTTCGGAAATTTTTTTCCGAAAAATTTTTAAATTATATTCTGCATTTTCAAAAATTTCTTCAAAATTCAGAAAGTTTAACTCCCTAAACTCGGAGTCTAAAGATTTGCCTTATTCGATGTAAAATGTAAACTAGACAGAGTACAATGCTGACAAAAAATGCAGATATCTAAGCCATTGAAAACGGCTGCGGCGAGTCGCCGATAGTTATAATGATTTAAAGCTGCCAATTTTATATGTTTGTATGGTAACGCCGTATTAAATTAAAAAGTTAGACAATTTGTGTCGATTGTTGAAATATCGGCAATTCTGAGGCAAAAATCGGAAAATCTGCATTTTCCATTTTTAGAGTGAAAAATCGTCAAAATGCCGATAAATCGGCAATATGGCAGCCCTGGTGGCGATGTGAATAGTTGACAGTTCGGTATTATTGGCAGCACTGCCGACACTAAAATTCCATAGCAGACGTCGAAGAGAGGGAATATTATTGCAAGTTTTGTTTAAATAAATTTCGTAGAAGAAAGGTTGGTCCCCCATCGATGAAATAATTCAAGTGCAGCCCGTGAATTGAAAATCAATCCATCAATCGGTTCAACAAGTTGTAAAAACTTGTAGAGGTTTGAAGTTCAAATAACCGAGCTAATTTTGTTTTTTCTCGCTTTGATTTTTGCGATTGTATGAATGTGTGCGAGTGTGTGTTTGTGTGCTGTGAGAGATTTTCACTTTTCTCGCTGCTTTTTTCATAGAACAAATTTTGTGTGTTTTGTTTTAGTCGTGTTTTATTGTTTTTTGCTTGACGTTGACAACGACGGTGAATTTTCGTGAGACTTTTTTACATTTCGATAATTTTTTTTTTGACAACGCTCGCCCAACCAGCCCATAGTCATTTTTCTTCAATATTGCCAGCGTCGGAAGAAAGTCCAAACGAAACATAAGTGTAGATAAAACGTAAGGAAGAAAAAGTGAAAAATTTAGATTGAAGTAAAAAAAGTTTAACGTGGAAAAGACTGTTCCGAAAAATACCAACCCATTGATTATATTCGGCGCTGAGCGGTTGCTGGTCAGTGAAACGCATAATCGATCTGTGATGTAGTTGTTGTCGGTCTCTGTCGCCGTAGTCGTCGCTATTTCTCATTGTGTGGAAAAACTAACTAAACTAGTTTTTTTGTAAATAAATACAAAAAGAGAAAAATAAAACGCTAAACTTGTTGTTTTACAACTTCGGCAAAACATTTTGATTTCTTTCAGCCTAAAAAAAACTAAATTTTGTTTGTTTTTGTGGCTGGTCGGTCATCATCAACATCAACGCTTCGATTGTTATTTTAATTTTGGTGTCAACGACAAACGAAACGACACACTCCACGGCGGCTTCAGCAAGCACGACGACTTGATTTAAATTCAAACACCGTCTCCATTGCTCAAAATAATAACATAATACCCTACTCCAGCAGTGAATTATGTAAGTGGGCACATTCCATTGCGAGCGGAAGGACCGTGGAGTGGGTGGGGTGGGCCGGTAGCAAGGCATTTGCTGTGAGGAGATCAAATCAGATTCTAAACTCTTGAATTCGTTAGCGGCGCCAATAACCATTTCTCATTTCGCAGATATTAACAACCATTCATATTTTGTTCAAATAAAAGATATCGTCGTATCTGCGAGATAGCCCCGCTGACGATTAGTAACGTCAAAATAGCACAATCACCACCACCACCGCCAGCACCACCGACGATAAAATAGAGTTGTTGTAGTTGTTCATTCTTAACTCTTGTGGTATTTGTCATTGTAAAATTAATTAAATGCCTTAGAGTAGTAGGACCCTCTCTCCGATAACACCCTTAACAATTCTTTATCACTTTTAATTGAAGATTATTTCAAGAGGGTATATGGAGATATTGCCCGGAACAGAGAAGAGTACAGAAAAAAGTGGAATAAATGGAAGATTGTTGAGAGAGCGCTCTTCAATAAAGATATATGTATTCTATATATGTATAACGATCACCTATGTATGATGCAAAAATAGTAAATAATCCCAAATATCCACAGATGAAATTCAAAACATTTGAGTTATCATTCAATAAATCAATTTGAATGCAACTAAATTGCAATTTTTAATTTAATATGAATATTCTCTTTAAAAATCATATTTCATTTTTGACCTACAATTGCAAGGAGTAAAAAAGATATTAGATAAAATGTTCAGCATCCAAAATCCCTTGCCAATTTTAATCCGACATATCTACATGTGCTTGTCCCAAATATGAAAGCCGCTCTAACAATATTAAATCAATTAGATTTCATGCTGAAGGAGTCTGGGATGTAACTCACGAGGAGTAAAACTTAAAACTTAACGAAACACATGATGCCACTTCTAATTAAGAACAGTTTGGTCACAATTCTTCAGGAAATATATACAACATTTTCCAAAAAAAAAAAACCGGACATTGTAATCAATATAAATCTTTTTCTTCACATTTAACTCATGCATTAAATTATTCCCTCAGAATATATCCTTTTTGTTCGCCGAGAACAGACGAGTGACAATCTTTAATTGTGTTATTGGGTACTTGAGAAGGGTTTATACCAACAAGTCGTCATCAAAGGCATATAGGCATAGACATATAAAAATCAAATCTTACATTAAAATATATTTAGTATGTGTATATATAAATTCATCTAAAATAAAAATAATGTAAATCAATATATGATTCTATCATTATTCATTGAATCATGTTTTTTTCATTTAAATTTTTGTCCACATTTAGAAAATGTCGCACCACAGCGATGATCAATTATTAGAAGCTGGCAGTGAATCGTTTTGGGAGCCAGGCAACTACAAACGTACAACCAAACGTATAGAGGATGGTTACAAGTAAGTACATACATGCATCGAATTGCTACATTCGACTGTCACTTTCAACTTCACACCTATTGATTTGTTGTTGTTCTCTTTTGTTTTTGTAAATTTCATATAATTTTAGACTGTGCAATGACCTACAACAACTGATTCAGGAAAGAGCCGATATAGAAAAGTCGTATGCCAAAAGTTTGCGTGCTTGGTCTAAAAAATGGGCTGAATTAATAGAGAAAGGTAAACAACACATGAACATTATTGACAAAACCAACAAACACTCCCAATTACTTTTTGAGTTATCGTTCTATTTCTGGGCATTGCTTGGCGAAGGAATTTATATTTATGTGTGTGTGTGTGTTTTTGTCCGACCATCATCATCATCATTTACTATTTTAAAATTGACTGACCACATAATATGATAAGCCATTACGAATATTTGCTAGCTGTTGTAGCAGTCAGTAGACTCTTGTATGAGTGAAATCAAAGTTTCTTATAGAATTGGGTAGTAAGTATACCTCATAAACACGTTGTTGTTGTTTATTATTGTTCTGTTAGCAGCAACTTTCGTCACCATCACCAACGTTATCAGTTTCTTCTCCTTTTTGTGTTAACTTGTCTAACTTGATGGCGAAGAAATTTAGCAACAACAATAACAGATTTTGCCATTGACTAAAATATACATCTTCCCCCCACCTTGCTAGAAACACCGTCAATATACAGACTTTTAGCATTCTTAGCATTAGCCCCATTTTTTGTATTGTTATGAGTTTTCTCAATTGATTGGTGGAATATTTGGCACATTTTGTTAGCCACGTTTCTACGAGCATTTATCAATGAAATACTTCATGGACGCAGAGGCGTGGCAAATAATCATTCTATAAAATATTTTAGTTGATATATGTAGGTAGTATTGTAATTTTTATTTCATTAAGCTATTACTATAACTTTGAATGATAGGGTTAATACTCATACTCTTGAATCCTGCATCACGACAATTGATGTCCGTCTAGTTCATTCAGTAAAAAGGTATGTCGGCTATTAAAAGTATTCCCTATGTGCCAGCGAATGAATTTGATTAGCAAATAATTCATATATGATAGAACTTATTTTGGATTATCCATTAGGCCCTCAAAAATTTGCAACCCATCACACCCCCCTAGTGGAATGTGTTAATGAGCGTACACAATTTGTTGTATTATTATTACCCTAACGTATTCGGATGTTATCATTTAGTGTTTATAAATAAATTTGTGATTGCAGCTCATAAATATTTTTGTATATTTGTCGATACTCAAATCCAGCTATTATTAATATTACGTCATACTAAATACTGAAAATAGTCAACAGACACTTGCTTGGAAGACGACACAACTAAAGACAAACATACAAAACAAAACGGCCGCAATGAATGCATAATAACTTGTCAGTAATAGGTAGTAAATGATGAAAATGCAAACCGTAGTAGCAGTACCGAACGTACCGACAAACTCGCACTACACAAGCGATTAAAAAAAAACAACAACAACAGAAATATATTTGTAGTCTTAATAATTTTCATTTCTGACTGAACATTACCACCACCCACCCTTAAGAGGCGGACTCAATACCGCACGTCTTGAAGGCATTCGTCACCCCGTTGCCTATAAATAATCTAAATTGATCAATAAGCAACAGTTCCAAATGTGGCGGGGTGGGGGTGGTGTTATGCATTATTTGACCGGGTAGTAGGGCATGAAGCGTACCACTACTACTATTCCTACTCTTAAATGACAGCATTAACGAAAGCTTTATTATAGCATATTGTGTACACATCTTAGTACAGACGGGGACACAGTAGGGACTGAGGTTTGGTCTCCTTTTGTTTTTCATCTGCTTTGTTTTAATTTTTGTTGTTTTTGTTTTACATGTGCATTCATAGTACTTACACGGAAAAGGTTTCGAAAATCAATGACACCCAGAAAGAATATTAGAGAAGCGCCCCTTATAGCCCTCAACTCACAGTGGTCTGTCTTTGCAAATGACACCGTGGCTTTTGCCGTTAGGGAATTAAGGTTTTCTATTGTTCTATTTAGGGAAAACATCAATACATCGTCGAATGAACGATGGCAATACGACACATTATGGCTGCTTATGACTTGGTTGAATTTGTTTTTATTGTTACAGGTCCGGAATATGGTACAACGGAGGCAGCATGGAAAGGTGTTCTAACCGAGTCGGAGCGTATATCAGATGTTCACATGAAGATCAAGGAGAATTTGTGTAGCGATGTTAGTAGCCAGATTAAAGCATGGCAAAAAGACAACTACCACCATACGTTGATGCAGATCAAGGAACGCAAAGATATGGAGGATCTATTCAAGAAGGCCCAAAAAACATGGGCGAAACTATTGGCCAAAGTCGAGAAGGCCAAATCGGAATATCATGCAGCTTGCAAAACAGAAAAAAGTGCCACAAATCAAGAACGCAATGCCACCGCCGATAGTTCATTGTCGCCAGACCAGGTATGAGCTATTAAGAGTTATAATCTCATACACATATATTCTTATCTAAAGAATGGTAGGACAAATAACTATTGTACAGTGTTTATCTGTCACATTGTGCGATTTGATGTGAAGGTCGCTGCGAAGATAAGAAAAAAACTAAAAAGTCTCTTCATATGTTCAGTTTTGTTAAAACTATTATGCCCTCTATATTAAGATTAATGTTGTCTAAAGACAATGCTACTTAACAATTTGGACTATAAAGGAATGACTTAAGACACCGAATGTGTTGGACCAATACGAATCAGATTGTTTAGACCCGATTTAGACATGCCCGTTTGGTCCAATATTTGCACATTGTTATACTATTTCTTTAGAGCATAGCATAGTTCAAGTTCAAATATGGGGGCTATCGGTCCACTTCTTCTAGTACTTCCCCAAATTGCTAAAGTCTTAATAGGGAGCGTATCAACATTTAAAAAAAAATGTACATGGGATCATAAGCAAAAGATGATTCTATCTTTTATCCATTCCTGCTTTTATACTCACATTTTTTCAACCTCGTAACGTTCACGTCTGATATATATATATATATATATAAGACGTCAATGCCGTCTTATACATGTTAACTTGTTTGCTTCATTTTTATTTTACAAATATTTATATATTTATGTAGGTGAAAAAAATGCACGATCGTGTCCAAAAGACTAAAGACCAGGTTCAAAAGTGCCGAGAGAAATACGAACAGGCGATTGCTGAGATAACCAAATACAATTCCGTGTACATAGAAGATATGACGTCAGTTTTCGAAAAGTGCCAAGCTATGGAGAAGACTCGATTGGAGTTCTTTAAGGAAGTGCTATTCAATTTGCATGCAGTTTTAGATCTTACCAAGGTACCCAGGTAAGTGCTATAACTATATCTTTTACTTTTATCTCCTAAAACATATTTCTTTTCTCGCAGCTTACCACAAATCTATGAAGAGTTTTATCACACTATTAATAATGCCGATCATCAAAAGGATCTGAAATGGTGGTCAAACAACCATGGTGTCAACATGGCCATGAACTGGCCTGCCTTTGTGGTAAGTATGGCATTGTTTTAGCGAACTAAGGGCACAAAGTATAGTGAAAGTCATTTTGTAGGAATATACCGAGGAATTCCGAGATATTGCTAAGGGTAGTAAATCAAAGGAAGCTTTGCCAGCAGCACCAATCACATTGATTAATCAAAGGCCGGTGAATGAAGATTTACACGTATGTCTACAATATTATTTGCAGAGTAGTCCATAATGACAGTATATTTATCAACATTTTCTCTCCAATTAGGAATATTCGGGCACATCTAGTTTGAAAAAGTCCAATAATTCGTCAACATTGAAATCATCGGGCAAACCAGATTCTTCCTCCACAGCTACCTCGCCCACAACAGCAACGGCCACAGCCACGAATAAAACAACACATACTCGCAATTCGAGCGTAACGTAAGTATTATTGAAATTAATTACAACATCGACATCAGCGAGCGACATATCATTTACAAAACGATTTTTTGTTTGCTTCCCAACGATGATTACAACACGATACAGCAATGGCAAATCGAATTCAACCGATGCCAATCCCTTCGAAGAGGAAGAAGAGTGGGACGAAGGTGACAATGTTTTGGTTGATAATGGCGAACCCGGAGTTCCAGTTAAAGCCCTTTATGACTATGATGGCGCTGAAAGTGATGAACTGACCTTCAAACAAGGTAAGAACAGGCACTGCATAACCATACATGGGTACATAACATAGTTTGTGGCTTTCCTTGCTTGCAGGTGATGTGTTTGAAAAACTGGAGGATGAAGACGAACAAGGTTGGTGTAAGGGACGTATGAATGGCCGCGTTGGTCTGTATCCTGCAAACTATGTGGAAGTTGTTCAAACGTAAATCGTTGCACGATTTTAAATCAACAGCGTTGATCCACCTCCTTCTGCACTTATTACCACAGTTTATTTATGCTAAAACAAACAACCATCAAAACGAACAACAATAAGAAGCAACCGACGCTTTGTAGCATTTATTAAGTATTAAACATCGCCCACAGCCCTGGCCTAGTGACAGTGTAATCCAACATCATTGACACCTTCATCTTCAATCGGCAGACAAAACATTTGGAAATCATTCTACCTACCAAGACCACAGACAACAAAAACAGGAATACTGACGACATCAGTCTTTGTGCACTTCTCTATTTTATTTCCAATGTTATGTCTTCTTACGAATAAGTTCAGTTATGTAATGAAAAAGAAAACCAAATGAATTTGTTTAGGGAAATTAAACGAAAATATTGTTTTCATTTCATTGAGAGTGGGTTTTTAAAACCCACCAAATTTAATGATAACTCGGAAAAAAGTTAAAGTAAATTGTAATATCCATTATAAGTTAGACAAAACACAACAACTACGACCACAAACCAACAAAGAAAGCAAGCAATATTTAGAATAAAAACGGAGCGGAGATCCGCCCCAAATCTTTTGTAGGGAAAAATTTCTCAAAAAAAAAGCAAAGATATATGAAAAGTGAAAACCCCCTACTCCGTTTTACATGTTTTACTAGTGAGTATTTGTAATTTATTTAACTTATATATACATATTAAACGATGATAAACATTATGATTATTCTTATTATAATATTGAATTATATTAACAAAAAAATATATATACAATAATAATAATAAAAACAAAAACACAAATCAGGCAATTTGCATGAAACCACAGAGTTTTAAACTGTTTTATTCGTCCTCAAAGAATCGTATGTAAATCGTTGTTAATTTAGATGAAATCATCTCCTACTAGAAATGGCCTTTGCATATACTATTATGGTATGGTACTATAAGTTAAAACATGTATTCAATGTGATACATAGCTCTAGTACCCCCAAATCGCATACAATGGTAAAAAAACTTACCCTATAATAAAATATTTCAAATTCTAAAAATTGTCTATCACGTATGCATTAAAAGCAGAAAACTATTCACAATGGTATCGTAGGCATGTCCATTTTTTATTCATTTTAGACATTACATTTTAAATCCAATACAATTCAAATTTTTGGATGGTCTAATAGATAGGTCTTGAGTTAAAGTTTTCAAAAGTTTTCAATTGGTTTTAAGCATGACATAAATTGAACAATTTCCTTAAAACCAATTGAAAACTTTAACTCAAAAACCTTTCAATATTATAAAGAAATACATGAAAACGTCGTTACCGAATATTGGAGGGTACCATTATAAATCATTTTTGTTATGGAGGTTCGATAAATAATAGATTAAAGTCAAGTTATATCGACGCTCTTTCTCACGAATGCTCACGGCGAGAATTCAATTTATCATGAATTCATAATACAAATGGTCGGGAATGCTCGCGATCGCTGTTAAAAACAACAAACAAATGTGTGTGTAGCGGAAAGTGTTGAGCATGTGTGGAATAACAAAACACGTCCCAACAACTATTGAGTTCACGAACGTTTGTTATTCTTGTTGCTGTTTTAAGAATTCGTGAGCATTCGCGAATGTTTATTTTCATTCGTGAGCGAATGTCAGAGAGAATTTCAACCACCAAACGAAACGAGCCATCGTTGTTGTGCGCTCGCACTTGTTTGTTATGTATATGCGAACATTCGTTTTGCGAATGCACCATAAAATGTGTGTTCCATCCATAACAAAGTATTTACTTCCAGACGAACGTGTTAAAAACATCATTTTCATTTCAATTAAACTTGACAATACACATACATACACAAAATATGTATTTTGATTTGATGGAACAAGCCACCTTGAGAAAACTTGTAATCAGTTGGTAGCTGTGCCCTACCTTGTAATAATTATACCATGATTTAGACTTCTAAATCCACTCGATCTCAAATGTCAATTCCATTGCTAATACGTCACGTTAATCCTAAGAAATGGAATTGACATTTGAGTTCGAGTGGTACGTTTAGATTTCGTAAATCTAAATGTACCTTAAGTGGAATTATACAGTCGAAACTAATTCATACGCTCTTTTCTGTGAATCGTTCAATTGAACTGGTTCGTTCGATTAAATCAAGGCACGACAAATAGGTAGTCCATTTAACACAACACAGCTGATGTCTCGATTTAACTGTCAAAATGCTTTCAATTTTCAAATTGTGTGGTTAAACAAAAAATTTTACAAAATTGTCAATGATCCAATAATACTCGCGCTGGTCGCTTATTACCTCTCTGCGTATACGGAAACAGCAACAACAAACATATATATCAAAACAACACACAAACAAAAGAATTACAACTTTATGCCAGATTTCAAGAAATTAACATCACTGATTATGCCTGTAAAAATATTAGTTACAATACCTTCAGGCTAACTTTTAATAATGCAAATGCAGCAAACAATTTTACGGCAAACCCAGACTTAAAAAAAATTGGCCTCAAAGCTTTCATTCCAGAAAGATTTGTGCAACGATTTTACATTATTAGGAATGTACCCAAAAGTATTTCTGCGATCACAATTAAGCAGCAAATTGAAGCAAACAATGACATGGATGTAGTGTCTGTCTATCGCTTTACAAGGAGAAATGAAGAAAACAAAACTGAATATACCGAAACAATCAAAATCGGCATTATATACGATGGTGTACCCACTGAAATACTTATGTGTGGTACTAAAATTTCCCCAGAGCTGTATGTACGTCGTTCTCGTCTGTGTTTAAACTGCGTGCGCCTAGGTCACATAGGTGACCGTTGCAGGTCAACAAAAAGGTGCTTAACGTGCGGAAAACTAATAATATGTCCCACTCAATGCAAAACACCAAAATGTCACGACTGTCGTTCAACAACAACATGCAAAGGTGAATGCGGTCCACCGCGATGTATTCTTTGTAATGGTACTGATCACTGTGCAACTGACCAGAAACTTTGCCCAAAATGGAAAACTGAAGAAAACATAAATAGCATAATGGCTCTCACCAACCTCTCAAGAAGAGAAGTCATTAGTAAATATCCAGAAACACAGAATTACTACCAAATTCTCTCTGAAGATCAATACAACAATGAATTTCCTTTAATCAATAAAAACAAAGCACCAAAAAGAACAGTTCATGATGAAATAAATAGGAGAGTTACAAAAACAAAATATAGTAAAATTGCGACTCCTCGAATTTACGCACATCATGCCGTTGCCAGCCCTCTCCAATTAGCTCCGTCTAAATCCATCTTCGAACAAGCAAACTTCTCCAAAGTATCTGAAATAGAAAAAATGTTTTCAAATTTTGCTAATGAAATGTCGAAAGTACTAACCTCACTTAACAGCGCCGAAGGTCTAAATATCCTAAAAAAATTTCAGCAATCGTTACTGCCATCAGTAACAGACAGCCCATTTCTGGAAACTAACAGCATAGACCCAAATATACACGCAACCTAAAAATTTAAAGCAATAACAAAACAACATGAACTTATTACAATACAATATACAAAGTCTAAATAAAAACAAAAGTTATCTGGAATTCTATTTAAAAAAATTAAATGTCGATATTTGCATCCTGTCTGAAATATTTAACATTGATGAAAATAAAAATGCCACATCAATATTTAATTACACCATTATCTCAAAAAAACGACAAGACAACTACGGTGGTGTTGCCTTAGTCTTCCATAAAAGAATAAAATTCAGGAAAGTTAGCTTTCCGACATCTTTGGATATATTGATTTGTGAAACTCTGAGCCTCTCCTCGAATATAACGATTGTTTCAATCTACTTTCCACATTCTCTCAAGTGCAATACCATTAGAAATGAGCTCGATAAATTGATATCATTCCTGGAAACCAAGCCAAATGTTTTCATATGTGGAGACTTCAACGCCCGCCACACTTCATACGGGGATAACTTTGATTCTCAAAGGGGTAAAATCGTAAAGACAACCTTTGATTCATCATCTTTTCGCTGCCTTAATAATGGTAGTTGCACATTTAAAAAACAGCTTCACGAATCTACGGGATCCGTACTAGATCTATCCTTTACGAATTCACATATCACAACTTCGTGGGTCGTTTATCCATCAACAATTGGAGGAAGTCACCACTTTCCAATTGTAATGAGCATATCAACTATAATCCCAAAACCTCAAAAATTTTTAGCTAAAAAAAAACTCTTCAGTAATCTAAACAGCATTAATCTGCCTACGTCTTTCGACGACATACATGATACTTTTAAAAATGAATTTAAAGCATCAACGTACACAGTCACTGAAAATGCTATTCCAAAATATTGGTGGGATTCGATCGTGGAAAAGAATTACAGACTCTACGTAGCGGCACAAAAGAAATTCGATATCAACAACAATAATGTAACTGCAGAAAATTTAATAATTGCAAAGAAAAATTTTAAAAAATCGGTTAAATATGCCAAGCAACATGCATTCAAAAGAAATATCCAACAACTAAGCAATGCTCCAAGTTCTAAAGCCCTGTTTAAATTTGTTCGTGGGTGTAAAAATTCTTTAAATTCTACGATGCCGTCAAAATGGTCTTCTGATAATGACAAACCATTTTTAATTCACTTAAAAAATCAGGTTCCTGACAACACACCGGTCAATATGGT